ACTTTTGCGTCAAAAACTACAACAAAACTGAAGTGTCAATCAAATACATTAATAAAATAAATAAACGCTTTCCTAATAGTGGGCCGAATATCAGGCGCTTCTCTGGCGAAAGCGAGCGTAAAATCGATGCAATCATTAGTTGTAAATAATTTAAAACTAAATCATTAATAATTAGTAATAATTATAGACCAGTAGTCGAGTAGTGGTAGCGACGATGCGGTGGTTGTGAGGAGTGGAGAGAGAAAGAGATAATAAGCTAATCAGCGACTGAAAGTGGGTGTGTCAGGGGAGGGGTGGTAGTGGTGGTCAGCAATGGAGTTCGCACTCGAAGTTAAGCATATTGATGATGGCCTCGTCGACCGACTCGGCGTCCCTGTAGGCGAGGATGAGTGTGTCGTCTTTAATGGTCAGTTTGAGGAATGTCTGCAGATTCTGGCGAAAGCAGTTCAACTCATTCAGACCGTTATGTTCGAGCGGCTCTTCTCCCAAATACTTCAACATTCGGCACAACAACACCTCAGCCGACGACTCCTCACTCATCCGCAAGAGTTCCTCGTTTTTGACGAGTCGTCGCACGAGTGTTAGGAACGACTCCTTCAGTGTCTCGAATTGGATGCTCTCATCCCTCTCGCAGTAGAGGTCAGTCTTCAGCTGTCGCACGATCTCCTCGTCGAAGGCATTCAACACGACTTTCACGTCTTTCCGAATACCGAACTCGTGCTTCAGATTATTGATGAGCGCTTCGGGAACTTCCGACTCGTCCGACGACTCCGAGAGACTCGTCATATCGAAGTCCTGGAGAACACTCAACGGCTTTATTATGGACTCGCCGTTGGACTTGATTTCTGAGGCAAACAAAACACAAATCAATTACTAAATGACTTTTGAAATCAAACGTCTGATGGACTGTTGAGTTGTGTGCATACCTTCAGTGCTGTTGCCGATGACCGCCAAATACCTGTTGAGACACTGGGACTCGTGTCTCACTTTACTCTCGTAGACATCGCTCACTAAACCACAAACACTGCACGAAAGGGTTCTCTCAATCACTTCCTGCGAAACAAAAAGCAATTCAATGTAAAACAACTCATGGAAGGGATGGTCGTTGTGTGTGATGTGAGCCATACCTCAACCCTCCCGGAGTGGTCGGCGGTGTACACCTTATTGCAGGCGTGTTCGTGCCATAGGAGCTGTTGTTTGATTCGGAACTCGAGGCCACAGTTTCTGCACTTAAATTTAGGCGCTTTCGACGCAATCCTATTGATGGCCGTGTTTTTGGTGCACTCCTCCCTGTGCTCTAAGTACGAGTCCTTTGTGAGGTACGTGTTATGGCAGTGAGAGCACTGGTATCTGTAGGGACACGTCTTCTTGATATGGTTGGCCAACTCGTGCCGCGATTTGTACTCCGATTTACAGTACGGACAGTGGAGTAGAGAGTCGTCGCCCTCGCCGTCCGGGTCCTCGTCGTCGCTCTCGTTGATGGAGTCGGTCCTCATCTCCAGCGACTTCTTTGTCACTTCAATCAGATTCTTCTTTTTGAGGATTTGGACGTTTTGTAAGTGAAGAATGAGGTGCTGTTGGATGCGCTGGTAGTGATGGACGCGAGCACCGCACAGCTCGCAGTCCAAGGCGTCGATCGACTCGTTTTGCATCAACTCTTGTGTGATGTGCGACAGCCGGTGGCGGATGAACTGCAAGACGTCGTCGAACTCCTCGGCACAGAGCGAGCATTTGGTCACTTCAGACACACTGATCACCACATCCTCGGGATCTGTAGTGGCGTTCGTGTCTACCGGTGCGCTCGAGTCGTGACTGATTTGCGGTGAACTCACGTTCGCATAGTTAGGAACCGTTTTGCGAGCCCTCGGAACCGTTGGGTTCAGACATATCGACTCATTTGTGTGTGAATTGGTCGCGTCCTCCGCGGCGAATGACTTCTTAGCCCTGTTTTGTGCCATCAATTGTCTCGCGTCGTCCGGCGTGGATCCGTCCGTTGTCTTCAGAGCGTTGCAGTACTTCTTCTTGTGTTCCATGAAATAGTAGTAACTATTATAAGGACCCCTNTGCGTGGGAATGACCGTCAGGTGGGGCGGCGGTGGTGGGGCCGGCATGTGTGGCGGCAGCGGTGGTAACGGTGCCATTCCGGGCGGTGGCGGCGGTATTACGCCGGCAGTGGCCATGTGTGCGGACGGGTGGATGGGGTGCGGCGGTGGTGGCGGTACTGTGACGGGAGGCATGCCGTGGACACCGGCCTGCGGAGCACCTGTACTCAAGTGAGAGACAAAAATAGCGATATTTAGACCTAAACTCACATTTTGAGCCCATATTTAGTGATTAATAACCAGAATATCCGGCAAATGGTTTGTAGTTCTGGTAGAACTGGAAGTTTGGGTCCCATGAGGGCGGCGTCGGAGGAACGGGTGGCGGGGGTGGGAGCGGCGGGACAGCCATTGCCTGACCGACGGCCGTCACGAACCGGTAGCCCTGCGTGTGATTCGTGCCGTACAGTTGCGGCGGAGGTTTGACAGAATTGGTGGACATTTGAGGCGGTGTCGGATGGGGTGGAGGCGGCGGCACAATAACGCCGGGCGTCACGGGAGTGGTCGGCATCGGAGGGGCCATAGCGTTGGGAGTGGCCGTCGCCGCCGTCAACGGGGCTTTGTTTGGAGGGCTCTGTCCGGTGGGCGCCGGGCTATTGGGCGGCGAATCCTGGGGCGTCTCCGGCAGTGGCGTCGAGTACAGGTCCAGCACCTGATGGCAGATGTCTTCGAGTACGTCGACGTTAATGTCTTCGACAAACATATCCCACCAGTGCTTGTGTTTGGGAAGCCTTCCCTCCCAGTCCGTGACCTCGAATTTGGACAGCTTTCCGGCCAAAAACATGAGTGCAATCGCTATGATCTCCGGTTCCCACTGAAGACATATCGTTGTCGACAAACTGTTGGACACAAACTCAATGTTAAGAAGTGATGGCCGGACAGGGAGTCGAGCAGTGAATGGACAGACCTATCGTTGATGAAAGTCCAGGCCATTTGAACCATTTTGTTGAGCTTGTCTTTGTCGCCCTTCAGACTCTTGGCGTACTTCAGGAGGTATTCGTACGGGTGGTCCACCTGGAGGTCGAATCGGATGGTCTGCAGAACAATGCGCTCGAGAGTGAGGACCTCCTCCTTAGGGTCGTCGCCGAAAGTGGCGAACTGGTGGTCAGTGAGTAGAGTGCGCGCCGTCTTTATGATGTCTTTGCACTTCTTGGGCGTCTCCTCCACTTTGCCGGCGAGGAAGAGACAACACGAGGCGCTCACGAAACGGGGGAACGACTTGAATGAGTGGTACATATAGAAGCGGTGGAAGTATATGACACCCGTAGCCATGGTGTCGAACCGCAACTTCATGGTCGTCCCCACCCGTAGTATAAACCGCGAGCCCTCCCGACGATACCTCTGCTCCGTCTCGAAGCTGATCCCATCGGCCAGCGATGGTGTGCTCCGGAGTTCGTTCTTGTCGTAGAACCAGTTGGACATCACTTCCGCCGCGTGTTCTTCGCTGTGGTCGCCACGCATGAGAAGAGATAATTTGTGGTGAGTTTGGGATTAGTGTGTGGTTTAAGACATGGAGTGATGAGACAATGAGTGGTGAAAGTGATGGCAAAGTGTGGTTACCTTTCGGTCAAAATCATGGAAACTTTGCACTCAATTGTCCGCCAATCGTATCAATCAGTCAAATGTAATGGATATGACAGACAATCTTGTGGTCAAACATCAATTGATTGGTGAGATTGAGTGACAATTGGTGTCAAAATGGGATCAATTGGTCGACAACTGAACGAAATGTTTGCCACAAATGTCTGAATCATTTGAGTTTCACTGCAATAATGACTCAAATAATGGATAAAAGGCTCGCATTTGAAGCACTCGTAGAGAGAGTGCGACACAAGTGTTAAGCCACTCAACACCCAAACCCAATACCTCTACATTAGACTACATGTGCACAGCTTAGCATTGCACCCATACCTAAGTTTTAGGCTAAAACACATAAAACCGGTTCACATAATTAAACCCAACTGTCCATTACTTTCTGCTAATCCCTGCAATAATTATACGCTATTATACCTAATTGTGTAATCATGTGATAAGCGCCGACAGTTTAGCTCCCGTACACTATTACTGTACAGTACAGTCCTAAGGATAGTCACGGCACAGGTAGTCAATTAATTAAGACAAACCAATTA